GTCAGGAAGCTTGTCTGCCATTTCTGATCTTTTCACCAAATACATGCTTCTGAGGAACCCCAGTATTCCTTAGAACAGGTTGGGGAGCCTGTGGTCTCCAGATGGTGCTAGAACTCAAGTTTCAGCCCCAGTCAGAATGGCCAATAGTCAAGGATGATGGGAGTTGTAGTTAAGCATCTTCTGGACAGCCATAGGCTAAAGTTACCAGATTTTTTTCAATGAATCCGAGGACACTTTTCAACTCCCTACTAAATAGATGGATTTTGTCAGGGGACTGATTTGTAAATCAGTCCCCAGGAAATGGGGATGTCTGGTAACCTTATCATAGGCTGCCCGCCCTAGCACAGAGTCTGAAAACTACCATTTTAGGTGTTATGCAAAATTCTAGGCTCCTCACATCTTCCTCAAGCTAAGAGTAGCCATAATGAGATTCCTCCTTTGCCCTGACAGACTCCCCTTTCCCAATTGCTTAATGGATTGTTTCTCTTGAGGCTATCCCTTTGACGTCTCCTCCAAATGAACAGATAGGTATGGCTATTAATGATTATGATATGCTCCATTCCTGGCTTCCTGCTCGCCTCCTACAAGTCACCTAAACCAACCTAATGACACATGGCGGACTGCAGCTTAATTTTGACTCAGATGTTACCGCAAATGAAAAGATGAAAAGATATGAGAGAATCAAATCGTGGAAAGTTAATGGTGCGGGCTCTGTGGAAACCCGGCTCAAAAACAAACACACCCGCCAGGTTTATGTTCATGCACAAATCGAAAGAGCTGGCTGGATTGAAATCAGCAACCAAAGAGCCTTTCATGAGGCTCTTCCCCACTTCCAAAAACTGCCCTGTACAACTTCCTCAGACTCAATGAGACCCACAGACCTGAGTTCAAGTCAGTGAAAAATATAATGAATGAGAAGTGTCAGAAGTGCCGCTGCCGCCTTGCGGTCCAGATGTAAGAGTCCGTGCCTCTAGCAATTCAGTGGCAGAGCACATGCTTTGTGTGTAGATGGTGCCGTGAGCAATCCCATAAATTTTCACTTTAAAGGACAGCAGCATCATGGAAGAGATATCCGTCCCTGTCTTTGGAATGCTGATGCCCATAAAAAGAGGCAGGGGTTAGATGCACCTGGGGCGAAGGCAGCTGCTGTGACTCGGTTGAGAACGCAGCTCTTTAGCCCATAGCAGGTGTTCATTCAGCAACTATCAGGGATGACCAAATTTGTCATTGTTGGTAACTCTCAGTTTCTCATTCCTCTAATCTTAAGTTCAGTTGTCTACATTTCCACAGAGGTTTTCAATCGGTTTTTTAAATGAAAGTCCTCATGAAAATGCACAAACATTTTAGAGCAGGGTTTCCCAAACCTGGGTCTCCAGCTGTTTTTTGGACTAAACTCCCTTCGTCCCTAGCTAGCAGGACCAATGGTCAAGGATGATGGGAACTGTAGTTCCAAAACTGCTGGAGACCCAAGTTTGGGAAACCCTGTTTTAGAACTAATTTCTCCAATGTACATGTGTTCTGTATGCAATTTTGCCCAATATACACAGTTTTTGCATAGCAAAATATCTCGATAGAACACAATTTTGTATATTGTTTTTCTAACATTATACAGTGGTACCTCGGGTTAAGTACTTAATTCGTTCCAGAGGTCTGTTCTTAACCTGAAACTGTTCTTAACCTGAAGCACCACTTTAGCTAATGGGGCCTCCTGCTGCCGCTGCGCCGCCGGAGCACGATTTCTGTTCTCATCCTGAAGCAAAGTTCTTAACCTGAAGCAGTATTTCTGGGTTAGCGGAGTCTGTAACCTGAAGCGTATGTAACCCGAGGTACCACTGTACACTGTACATTGTTATGCAAACTACACATTGCCTGGGTGGAGAAATATACCGCAAATTTTTAGAAGTGTGAATGTCAATTGTTGTCACACTCTCCTTCCGCCTTCTCCACATTGCTTGACTTGAGAGCTGAACTGCAAAATAAGTGCAAATTTCAAAGGATGACTGTGTTTCAATTTGTGTATTGTTTTGGAAAAAGATGAATTTGGTAGGTTCACCTTTATATGCAAACTTAATTGAATCCCTACCATGCCTAATTAGGGATTTATTTATGAGAAGATCAGTTACAGGGAATAAACTTTCCTGGAAGCAGACTTGTTCACAATTACCAATGGTACAATATGTGAGCATGATCACAGAATCATAGAAGAGTTGGAAGGGACCCTGAGAGTTATCTAGTCCAACCTCTAGGAATCTCAAAAGGAATCTGAAACCATACCATACCCTGCTTAGCTTTGCAAATGTGCTAGCAGTTTTATTGCTGCACCACTAGGATGGTTTGCTTGTGTGCAATATGGAGCCACGAGTGAGCATTGGCTGTGTTACAGGGTACATTCTCAAAAGGCCTGGACAATGAGTAATATCTCAGAATCTTCTAGAACACCCACCATTTCCAAGGCAGGCAAGGAAAGACTGAAAATTTTCACTGAACGCAAACTATTTGTATGTCAGCGCCTTAAGTAAACACTGGCAGCACCTACTGCTTTCACAGCAATCAGTAAGGACAGAAAGGGATACATGCAGGATTGGTTGATGAGCTGTCTACATCCATGGTGTATCATTCTATTGCCTGCCCTAAGCACCAAATTGGAAACTGAGGCTTATTCCTCCCCAAAGCAGGTACTGTGCAGAATAAAAGGAGAACACTCTCCCCACAGAGCTTATTGCAGCTTATAGTCTGCGCAGTTGTTTCCATCTTAACTGCTGGTGGAGGAGGGACCCAGATAGGACTTCCTGCATGCCCAACTAATGCACAAGACAGAAATGCACATAATTTAATCACCCAGTCTCAACTGCAGATGCACTCCGTTCGTAGAAAGCAAAAACAAACAAACCAATTAAAGAACTGAATAATAGTAGTAAATCATTTTCTCCCTCCTAACTCCTTCAAGAGCTCCCGAAGGCAGTCTCTGGTTATTGCAGGAGTGCTTTATTTTATGCACAGCTGCATCATGTGACACGGTGTTAATCCAATGATCACAAAGAGCAAAAGGAAACCGACAAGAGCTGTGGGGAAACTCAATGCACAAGACTGGCAGCATCGCAGAGCATCCTCAAAGGATCAGACTGAGCCATCAGCATTTCCTTTCCTCTCTCTCCTCTCCTCCCCATCCCTGCCTCCTGTGCAAGACAGAGACTTCCCCACCCCACGGTTCTATCAGTGGTGAAACTGCTTGCTTGGTCTGCAGGAAGAGGGCCTGTTTCGAAATTATTCAAGGCACGTAAAAAAGATGAGGAAGCCATGCTACTCCATGAGAAAGCCCCTGAAATTTGGAGTTGTGCTACTTTGGGGAAGGGACATAGCTCAGTGGGAGAGCATCTACTTCACATGCAGAAGGACCCAAATTCAGTTCCCAGCAGAGGGATAGTCTGCCTCAGTCGGAAGCAGGTTCCTTTTATTAGAACCAACCACAAATGGCACGAAATAGTGAGCAACAGTGAACTAAAAACCTTGCTCACTTTCCTGACATTTTGGTTGCCCCTTATTAAGGTATTGTCCAGCTGTGGACTCTGGAATGCATAGAAATAGTATGTGCTTTAATTCGTTTACTGTAATGCAAAAGGCTATGTCATTTTCATTATCCCTGAACCTCCAGTTTCAGGGGCACTCTACCTCTGAATACTTGTTACTGGAGGACAAACAACAGGGAAGGCTCTTGCCTTTGTGGCCTTATTTGTTGGGCTTCCCAGAAGCCTCTGGCTGGCTGCTGCTGGGACTAGGCAGATCTGTTGGGTGTAGTGAAGGGTTAACCTTCTGTGTCTCGAGGCTGAGAGGAGGCGCTTACAAGGGAAGTAAGCCAGGACGTGAGGAAAGCAGCTTGGAATGCTGTGAGCTGAGTGAAAAGTGAAAGCAGCTTTGTTACGCAGCTGCAAGCTGAGAGAAGGACGCAAAATGCAGCTTGATTCAGATGGTGTTTAAGGAATGTAAATATGCTACTTTTGAGCAAATAAAGTGCTACTAGAAAAGAAGAAACGTGTGGGACTTCTTTTACTGCCCTTTTCAACACGGACGCTGTGCAATTCTGCTAATTGCTTTACGACCTGCAGAGGAGTGCAGGGGAGCGTGCCGGACGCCAAGAATAAAGCAATAAATCTACCTAACAAGATCTCTGATTTTATCTAGCAGAACAATATTTATATGCGTGCATTGTTTTTAATCACGTAAATGCTCCCACAGCCCAAAAGGTGTTTGCCACCCCGTTCTTGATAAACTTCATAAACAGCTCCATGATTTCCATTTTACAACTGGAGAAGCAGAGCCAGGTTTGGCCTAATCCACATCTCAGTGCTGCTTCTCATTTTACATGATGTACTGTGTGCAGATACCCGGCTACCTTCTTGACAGCTGCAGTTCACACTGGTGCAAATGATTTTGTAATGAAACAGCCACTTGCAAAAGGTTTCCTTACCAGCTGTTGGCCTTTGGGTCCCCATCCTGCATACTGAAGCTTTGTATTGCTAACTTCGGGAGGATACAAATTTTGAGGTTCCCTGTAGATAAAAAGAAAAGAAAAGGGAGAAGTAAGAATTTCAGCTGCATTAATACCTGGGATCAAATTTTACAAGAGCCAGTATCCAAAACGTTACTTTACGGTTTATCTTCAAAAGGTTGTGTGTGTCCAAAGAGCCCTTTTGACCATCCCACTTTTAGCAGTGGACAACCCCTCCCCTGCATTTATCGCCACAAACTTGCAAACACTTTCCCTTCTGGCTTCCATGATGCTGATTACAATGTAGCAAGGTGTGTTGTGTTAGGAGTAGGGATGGGAGGGTGTGTCCGTTTTGGTTCTCTCGGTTTCACATTATTCCAGTCATAGAGTCAGTTCTCCACATTTGTGCAGTAATTTGTGATATCCCTCTCCCCACCCCCGAAAAATTCTCATGGAAAAAAAATCCAGCATTTTAGTGTGAATTTCTTGTCTAACCCCCTGCAATGCAGGAATATGCAGCTATCCCATACGGGAATCAAACCTGCAACTTTGGCATTATCAACACCACGCTGTAACCAACTGAGCTATCCATGTGGCAGGCATAATGTTTTTGCACAGAAAGGGCAAACTATGCTGTTTCAAGAGGCTTGCAGATTATACGGATGGGACAGTGAAATTATATGCATGCCTGCAAGAAGGGAGTCCCACTGCGTTCAATGAGGTTTAGCCCCAGGTACGTGGATACCAGTCTTAAGTCTGCCATGGTCGTCTGTCGCATGTAGCAACAGCTTTGTGTTAGCGCAGTCACTTGGATGGCAGGTTGGGCGAGACAGAGGTGAAACCATATGCCACTCTCTTCCTGTACACTTAGCCCATTTTCTCAGTATGTCAAGGGATAAAACAGAGATAGTAAGTAATGCACCGTGACAGCCCACTCTGTAGCAACTGATGCTAGCAATCTCAAGCCATGTGTTCACCCCCTAAACAGTGTTAATGTAGAACAAGCTGTGATTATAACTGTGCTTAGGAGAAAGGAAGGTACACACGAACACACACACACACACACACACCCAAGGTTGCTAATTTTTATTGCTGCTGGCAACTGTCTAACACATAGAAATTCAGGCAAGCTTTTCCTACCAAGATGGTGAAGCAATGGGGGGAATTTAAGGCACAAAAACAGGGACAGTAAAATTATACCTTGCTTCTACTTCATTGTCCCTTTTTAAGAAGCTGCTCTCATTTGAACCAGTCACTTCATCCACAGAGGGGGAATTAAGGCTTTATTCCTGGAAAAACTTCCAGCGTGCATTACAACTGCACAAGATGCACATATTGCCAATTCTATTGCAGGCAAGTGGGAGTTTCCCCTGTAATCAGCAAAGGACTGCACACAACACCAGGTTATCAATTAAATTAAAAACTATTCTAACAAATCTATATGAAGATCGTGCTGTGGAGAGAGAATGAAATGGTTGTGTCGGAAAAAGTTGCCTTGTAGACATGAAAGAGAGTCAGACCCACTTCCCTTAGGTACCCACACAGGCCTCATGAATTCACAAATTCTGAGCACAGACTTCCTTCTACATTTCCATGCTTTAGTCAGCATAAAGCTTGCAAATATGCAGCTCTCCATATATTTTCATTAAAATTGGCTATGAAATATCTACCTAGCATCATGAGAGACACCCACATTTGTTCTGCTGCTGTTTAGAATCAGCTACCATAGAAGGAATTGTTCATCCTCTCAAACACATTTGAGAAAATTATGTGTAGAAATATGACACATATTCTGCTGACTTTTGAAGCTGTGAACTTTTTATGGTTCTGTACCTTCAAAGTCAACTTGGACTGGACAGAGGACACCTTCAGACAGACGGCTGTCCTTTGACTGTCTTTCAAGAAAAGAGGACTGCAAAGTAGGACACATGGTAGTGACCCTAGTAGAGGGCAGAAAACAACAACAACCCGCCCCAGAATCTTCAACAGGCTTTCTGAACACGTGACCTTCTCTTGCCTAATAAAAATATTTGGGCAAGCGTTTTCCCTCTTGCTCAGAAAATGTTATGTTACACCTTTTCCAAATCAACAGATTGTACACTTTACTTAAGGCTTGTAACTAAAGCTTCAGGGAACGAATGTAGCATCAAGAAGCCACAGTCCCAATTATAAGCAATCATCCAGAGCACATAACAGACAGGCCCTGTCAGTTCCATTCACTGCATCATCTTTCAGGAGAAGCACAAACCTGCTTTGATAACGGATAAGGGGTAACATAACACAGATGAATGAAGGCTCCCCCCTTTTCTAACTGCCATATACAAGTTCTGCTGCTTTTAAGAGCTTTGTTTCCCTCCCTCTCCCCTGTCACTCTCTGTTATCTATTTTTAAAGATGAGAAATAATTCTAGCTATTGATCTACCTTCTGGTTAATTTTCTGATGCCTGTGGATGAAGCAAGTCTGCAAAACATTTCTGGTTTGCTTCCAAAATCTACAGTGACTTTGCAAACAACAATAGATGAGGGAGAAATATAATATTGCAGCATTCAGGTGAATAATACATTGCCAAGCGACGCCTGGCTCAGCATCACTGCAGGTAACAATGGTTTATTGGTCTCATTTTTTTTAACTGGAGCGATTCCTTTTCAATTTATGATTAGACAAGCTGGAAAGGCTAGAGGCAGAAAAAAGTTTTCAACAGAGTTGAAAGTTTATAGGAGAAGAACTATTGTTACTTTTGATGTACAGAGCAATTCATTGTGCCTCTGGTCAACCTCAGTAAGGGAATCTTGTGTTTCAAGAATTAGAAAAACCTGCAGAAACAATGTGACCAAACTGATGTTGGGGTAAGCCTGTGCAACAATGAACATTTTGCTCTATTGTACCAATTTCAGCACCTGGAAAATGACTATTCTTTCTTAATTCAAGGTTAAGGAACCTATGGCCATGCTGGCTGGGACTGATGGGAGTTGTGAAGTCCAACTGCACCTGCAAAACCACAGGTTCCCTGTCCCTGGGCTAATGAGATACCATCTACAATGCTTTCTAATCCTGCTTCTTCTTCTTCCATTCAATAAGGCTTGAGTCTAAGCCTTTAGCCATGAATTAACTTAAGAGATCCGAGTTACTGTCAAACCCCAGCTCCTTCCTCAGGGCAGCTTCCCCTTGTGCTGCTCTTTCAAAATACCTATTCATCTGAGAGGTGACTCAGAGGTTGAATTGAACCCAGAGTCAACAATCCTTGCCGAGATCAGGGCTTGCTCTAAGTCATGGAAGTCATGAAATGGATTGTCATGTATTGTGGAGGAGTCTCTCCAACCTTGCTCTGCTCTCCAGCCGTTGTTGGGGTCTACAACTCTCATCATCCCTGACCACTTGGCCACACTGGCTGGGGCTGATGAGAGCTGGAGAACAAAATGTGGAGGCTACCACTTGCTGAATCTTCTGTCTCTTCTCTTGGTTCTGACCTTAGTATTCTCTAAGAATTAAATTTAACTCAATAAACATTCTTCTATTCTTCTGTTGTTTCTCTGAGTCTTCCCTTGTGGTCTTATTTGTAGAACACAGGCACATCAACAAGCATTTGGAAGGTGGACTTGAAATGCCACTGTATCATGGAACGCAGATCCATGTTTCCAACAATCTCATTCATTTTTCTCTCGTGTTCCAGATCATTTATTATTTTCAGTATTTAACTACTCAGCCAGGGTTCAGTTAATTAATTTGCCTTCCATTCACTTCATTTCTGCCATGATATTTTGAGTATAATTACTCTTGTCACTGTGCAAAAGGTGTGAGCTTCACATATAATCTTCACCCAGAAGATGTGCTGACTTCTCTATAGAAGTCAGCATGCACGAAGATGAGTCAAGGGTTTATTTACATTCTTTCTTAATTTTTGCAAGTGATATCAATTAATAGGGAAGGCGAGAGTTAAGGTGTTCTTTTTGAGATAACAAGTTGTTAAAGTGGTTAAGTATATTGCTGTTTAATGGCTGATAAGAGCTAATGGTTAGGAGGCAGTTGGAAACATCTTTGTCATTGAATTAGGGTGATCATTGCGTCCTTCTGCAAAACAAACAAAAAATAAAAATAAAACCAACCCTGCTGTGACTGGGAATCCCTCTGTTCATTCTGCTGGACCTCTGCCTCAGTATCCTGCCCTGACAGCAATCCTTGCAATGGACTGTCCAGGAAGAGAGTACCCTGTACAGGAGCACCTAACACTCTAATCTTCTGTTGCAGTCCTGAGGCACCATGAAGATGACCAAGGCTGCAGTCTTACGCTTATTCGTTTGAGAATAAGTCTCACTGAATGCATATATGCCTTACTTCTGAGCAAATGTGCTTAGAATTGGGTTTCCTCAAGTCTACGCACTGATTTGATGAATGGTTTATCAGGTGCACGACGAGGAAAGTGAAGTATATGGATGCATATGGAACATTTTGCAAAATTAAAATTTAAAGATATAGACTGAAATCCAAAATCCTATATATGAGTCAATCAGTTAATGAGATTCATTCAGTAGGGACTGGGTGTCCATCAAGTTGGCATGCTGAACTCTAGCAGGCTGGTGCTCAGTTTTCTGCTCATTGGGATAACTGCATGTGATATAATCACTGTTTGTAGTGCCTTAGCCAATATGGGTTGGTTCAGTTCCCCCACCGTCCTGCAAAAAATATGTCAAATATGCCAAACTGGCTCACTGCTGTTCCATTAATTCCTTGTGCATCCAACTGCCCTTCATCAGAAGTTGGAAGGTATGGAACATGGAGTCTCCACCCTATGCACTTGGAGTTGTTTATTGCCTGGTTTAACTCACAGAGGACTGCCTCTGCTTTGTAGTCTCTCAACTGCATTGGAACTGGGGCTGAAATGAAATGTCCCTATATAATGGCCAAAAAAGGAGGGCAGTATAGAAACAAATTAATGTTAGTAGCAGGCTGGTGAGTGTTGAGAAAAACATAAGTTTCCAGAAGGCACCAAGACACTTTGACAGAAAGAAAAGGCCTTGTTAAAAAAAATAAAAAAATGCATGATTTGTTTACTTCAAAACTTGCAAATGAGGAAAGGAGAAAAATGACAGGATGAGAAGCACTTCCCAGCAGACACGCAGACGTACAAGGAGAAAGAAAAAACACAGGAACTGTAGAGCTTACCTGAATGGATAATCAAAAAACCCCACACTCTCTGAAACTGTGTCTCAGAGAATGAATGGCATTCTGAATTCTAACAGAGGGTTTTATAACTGGGAGAAAATCTCCCAGACAGGATGATATGCCCCCTGTATAACTTGAACTTTGATACAAAATGTGGAATTATTTGTGGCGCTGTGGGTTAAACCACAGAGCCTAGGACTTGCAGATCAGAAGGTCGGCACTTTGAATCCCCGTGACGGGGTGAGCTCCCGTTGCTCGGTCCCTGCTCCTGCCAACCTAGCAGTTCAAAAGCACATCAAAGTGCAAGTAGATAAATAGGTACCACTCCAGCGGAAAGGTAAATGGCGTTTCTGTGCACTGCTCTGGTTCGCCAGAAGTGGTTTAGTCATGCTGGCCACATGACCCGGAAGCTGTACGCCGGCTCCCACGGCCAATA